CACCGAAGAGCGATTATATAGTCGTCATTACAGAAATGAGTGGCCTCTTCGCTTACCGGACTTAACACCACTTGATTTTTGGCTTTGAGGTTATGTCAAGATGTCAAGACCAGAGTGTACCTCAATAAGCCATCTTATTTGGTGCAGTTAAAGGACTCCATTCGTCACGAAAATCTCTTGCATCTAGTCAGATATGCTACATGCTGTAGTTAGCAGTGTTGTAACTCGTTTGAAAACTGCAGTTTGTGTTGATGGCGGAGACATAGAATAAGAGTGATATGCTTGTAAACATTGACCTGTATGCTAATAAATATATGTGGGATTTGCTGTCGTACAGCAGCGCCCTCTATTGATACATATTTTAACTATTTTTTTTATCCAAAAGAATTCCCCCTTCGCGAGAATAACTGTTTTGAAAACCGCGCTCAGTTCTATCAACTCCTTCAATTTTTAAGAATTTAAAAAATGTTTATGAACTTATGGGTCACCCTTTATGTATATATATATATATATATATATATATATATATATATATATGAATTTGTATGCAAATGTTGGGAATATTTCTTATATCGAGATAAACTGCAAGAGACAATTGTTATCCTAGGTAAATATTAAAAAATAAATAGGCATCATTTTGTTAAAAAAGGACAATTAAATTATATCTTATAACTGGAATATTTGTTTCCACAGTTTGAGTGAGGAAGAACTTTACTAAAATAACAGAATTTTTTTGGATGAAATAATGTTATTAAGCGAGAAGAAATATTAAGTAATTATAAGAAGAAATATCATGTATCACGCGAGAACTTGATCAATATCAAGTAAAAGTAAAAATTTTATACAGATCTAAAAAGGAGACAAGAAGCATAAGGGATTTTTAGTAAAGATCTATTTCAAAATTTCAAAATGTTCGTGAAACTAGTCAAAAATAAAGGTGTATAAAAAAGGTAAAGAAAACAAAAGATTAAAAAAAAAGGGGGGGGAATTCCCCATAATCAAAAGAGCAAATAATAGTCATGAAATTAAAAATCTGATGCCGACATCACATGACCTCCTTGAACGGAGTATTAAATTATACGAACTTTTTGCTGCATTTCATTTAAACTTATTTCCTCGAATTTCATTACAGATAGATTGCTCATTCAATTTATAAAGTTCTCACTTCGCGGCAAGGTAAAAATAAATAAAATGCCTTCATTAAAAATTGAAAAATACAGAAAAACGTTAAACACTAAATACAGTTAATTTTTTCTTTACAATTAAAATTACAGTTTCTACGCCAAAATAAGCAATTCGGCCAGCGGGATGGAAGACAGATTTTTCGGCGCACAAAATTAAAAGTTTACTTTTGGTCCCACTCGGCCAAAAGACGCTGAAGGTGCAGAAACTGACTTAATTCATTATTCTGCTAAATTGTAAATGTAAACAAAAATGGCTGCTATGAAAAAAATAGGCTCAGCCGCACATAAACAAATTTTTAATTGTTGATAATTCTGCAACTATTGCATGCAGATTAATAAAGGCATAAAAACCTTAACCGGATGATAAGAAAAACATAATTCAATCATTTTTAAAGCAAAAAATGCTCAGTTCAGCAACATATAAGAATAAAAAAGACTGAGCTCACCGGGCCGAGTAACAGAGTGGGTCTATATATATATATAAAATTTAAAGTTGTAAGAACAAACGAAAAACGACCAATTTTGATCAAAATTTTGCGCATTGTGTGCGTCATCCCGCAAGTTGGAGGGCAATGGAAACGCTCGGGGGTTTGCACACCCTTTTCGAGTTTCCTTGTCACCAAGGAAGACAGCTTTGTACCAGGTCTGATTTTTATAATTTTTTCTCTAAAAGTTTTTCTAGGTCTTGGCAAGATACATGCTACTAGTCGTCTTATATATTAGTTTTTCCTTTTTGATTTAAATATAATTAACGATAACTTTACAAGGTTTTAATTCTTTAAGCTCGCAGGTCCAACCCATAAGTTCTTCTATATTTTGACTAATAGCTATCGCTATTTAACTTTATTTTCTAATTTTGCAGCTCAATGCTCAAATTCTTGGCCGCACAGATATTTTTTAATTTGCTCTCCTTTCTTAAATTATATATATATATATTCTTTTGATGCGGCCGACTGCAATCAAAAAAGGAAGTGCAAAACTAAATGTTATCGCAATCCTATACACAAAATTTTAGTCTGCTCGTTTTTGAGTTATGCGAGATTAGTACATACGTACATACAGACGACACGAAAGAAAATCTTTTCTGAATCCATTTTAAATCAATTTTATAATCCGTTTGGTGAAAAACAGTCCTTTATTCTGTCCTTGCGTGCAGATGTCACGCAAAAATATGTTTAAATTGCATTTGATAGCGGTCGTCAAATTGGATATTTTCGTTGAAATATGATATTCGGAATTTTTTGTGATTACTTTCTTTACTTCGCACACGAAGTAAGGAAAAAAAATCTCTGTTAACTGATTTCTGTGGCAGATTACTATTATATTAGGATTTTTTTATTATAATTTCGATTGTATTAATACAAATTACATTACAACATTACAAATTTTTGTTTGAAAACGTAGTTACCAAAATGTGTAGCGACACATAACATTTGGTAGTTAAATATATTTTGTAGTGTTTTGGGTAAAGGGTTTTCATAATTCCTTGAAACATTTTAAAGATTCATAAATACTATGCAAATAATACCAAACTTTATTATACAGAAAGAGGTAAACTCATTATATTTTTTGACATATTTTCGCAAAAAAATTCAGTGTGTTTTTAATTCTCCATTATTATAATATCCTTTTAGGTCAATAAAGTACCTGAACATGTGAAGTTGGCTTCATTATAATTTGGCTTAGTTACTGACAGCAAACTTAACTTTCAGGAACTCATCACTTCAAAAACACTATTTACCTATAATAATAACAACTGCATTGGCCACTATGCAGTTTTTTTCGATATATGAAAATACTCCCTACATATGTATACAAGTTTATATCTATTATATGTATGCAAACATATTGTATACAAAATAATACGAACACTTATGAGAAAATTATGCTATACATAAAAATATTGCTGAAACATTCATATTCACCATCTCCAACGTATGTTCTTTCTTAAAAGCTAGTATTATACAGTTTTGTTCTCCATTCTGCTTTACTGCACTCAAAAACCCTCGGAACTTTGTCCTGAAAATGCCCTTTTGATATAACCCAGTTATTCTTTCTTCCTTGCCTCTGTCACGCACGTCATGCTTGAAACAAAGAAAAATTTTCATAGACTTTTCTTTCGCTGTTCCTTTCCTTATCCTTACCTTATCATTTCCTGGACATGTGCATTTAGACATTTGTCTTCATCAGCTTGCCAGCTTTCTTTCAGAATCTTAACTATTCACCATTTTAATATTAAGAATAGAAACGTATACCCATATTCTTCCTGGGCGTTTTCGTGGTTTTCCCCATGTGTAACGTGCATACGAGCCAGTTTCCCTTAGAAAGTCCTCCACGAAGGCATCCCTCCCCTTAGGCAGATAGCCCTAGTGTACTTTGCCATAATTAAATACACTCCCAGATTCTTCCATAGGGAGCAAAGCCAGTCTCTTACACGGAGCTCGAAGTTTCTACTGAGTTCAATATTAGGGCAATTTCAGCTTTCTACATCTTTCGAGCTCCAGCGTAGTGAATTTGTGACAGTATCTGGTTCTGTACTTTAAGGACAGAAACTTTCCTGTATTTATTAAAGGTTAGAATTATATTTTTCGGTTCTATTGTGGTTATCTTGAACTACTTTGTTTATTTTCAGTAAGTGTTATCGCTTGAAACTGTAAATACTGTGATGACAAACTATGCTGAAAACAGCAAAACAAAGCATTGGCTGTCTACCTCAGAAAAAGAATTAATTTCCTACAAGACTCTCTAAGAAAAACTAGTTCGCATTCATATTACACGCGGAGAAAACAGTGCAAACACTTTTGTAGTTTGGCTCGTTTACTGGGATTAGAACCCGGGTCAAAAATATATTTTTATTTTTGTTTATTTATTTTTTACGAATGGCGGGCACTTGCCTAGAGAGAGAGAGAGAGAACGGAGGACGTGGGCACTATCCCCTTATCAAACGGTTAATTAGTATAGCACCACGTCCACCACTATCTATAGCACCTCTTTAAAATACATAAGGCCACCTGAAAGGTATTCAACGTGCACGACAAGACATACAAAATAATATGTTACAGAGTTACAGATTAATATTCAAGATATATTACTGGTACATTACTGATACAAACATGACAGATGCATAATTGATAAAAGACTGATATAATACTGATATTAACACTGATTAATACTGCTACAGTATTGATACATTGATATAACACTGAATATTATTACAGATTAAATGGGAATGATTTTGCATAAGTCGGTAAATAAATCCACGAAATAATACGTTACAGAGACTCAAAATATTGCGAATTAAAATATCACAAATGAATGTTCTACTGTTACATTGCTTGTACTATTGTACCCCTATAGCACTTGCCTAGAACTGCATTGGCCACTACTAAGGCCAGAAGTGGTGACCATTTTTCAAAACACGAATGTTTGACGGTGACATCAATTTAGCGGCTGGTGGGCTAATTAAAAAATGCACAGCTCTATACATCTTCTCCGTACGACATTGTGTTATAATTAAACAATCTGGAGAATAAATAATTACATATAAAACTAGCACTACCATCTTTATATTGCGTACAGAGTATTTAAGGAAAAGCTATTAAAGATATTAATGATTTTATTCCATCGCAAATATATATATACATATTTTAATAAGAAAAAGGTGTGTAATCATTTAGAAAACTAAAAGTATACTCAAGTGGGATTTAGACCTTTTGAAACTGTGTTTAAGAATTACAGATTCTTCAAATTAATCAAGCGGTATAAATGTGAAAATTATGAATAAATTCAGAATAATTACAAAACTTATAATCTTACCTTATTATTAAATAGCTGAGATCCTCCAGCTTAAATGGAAGAACATTTCTTGGAAACTCTGTGAGCGGTAAATTCTCTATTTCTAAGCCAATTAAGATCTTGAGATGACTTAATGCTCCTGTTTCAAATCGAGTAGTTTTCGTATTTTTGATAGTCAAAAAAGATACACTTTCTGGTATACCCTTTTCAAATTCTTTACCAATAACAGGCATTGTTACGTTATCTATGGTGAGAATTCGTAAAGACTGAACATTCTTAAAATTTAGCCATTTTTTGTCCTCTATAATTGTTGATTCGAATATCGCCCTCCCTAAATGGGGCCAAGCACCTTCTGTAAGTCGTTGCAATCGCACTAATTTGCAATTTTTGAATCGTAAACTTCCGACTTGATTAACAGCTGGAGGTAATTTGAATAGCTCTAATGATTCCAACTCAAGATCCCAGTCTCCTGTTATATTGGCTATGACAGAGATAATACGATCTTTGTCAGATGGACCTGTGCACTTGATCGTAAATCTTTCTTTGATAAACGAGTGGTTTCTACAAATGCAGGGCTGTATGCTGTTAGCTTCAGGGCAAGCACCCAAAGAAAATGATATGCATATCCATAATATATAGATTGAAAGGAGACTAGAATTCTTCATTGAAAACCAAGTGGGAAATTATCTGTATTTCTAAAGGAAATAAAATTACTTGAGACTTATACCCGGCATGCAGATGGAAAGATCGCTGACAGTTAACGGGATGTCTCGCTTCTTAAGTAGCAAACGTTTAAAAGACCCGAAGCAGCGTTGAGAGCATCTGTGTAGGATTTTATGAAGGTCTTAGCAACGGCCTTTGAGCTTCTTCCCTCTTTTTTGCTTTTTGTTTTTTGGGTATCTGTGCGATAAGAATTATTTCGAAAAATAATGTTTCACTTACAGATTCCAAATAAACTTAGCTTATAAGTCATAGTTTATTAGAATCGATTTTTTTTATTTTTGAATTTAAACTTTATTTATATTTAAGATTCTGGATCGTTTGAAAATTTTTTTACAGTTTTATTTTTGATAAATTATCGCTTGCAAGAAATGTAATATTTATAGTAATGTTTGATTAAGATTTCTTTTGTATCAGTTGTACGAATTCTTTATTGTTTAAATAAACATTGTTACGAAATGTCCAGGCACGGTGAGATAGCTTCCCCGCAAAGCAGTTTTAGGGTTGCCATAAAATGGCAAGATAGGCCAGGGTTGCCACATTTTGTGAGAAATCTCCAATTTGGCGACAAAATTGGCGATATGCCATGGACGGATGGAGAACCTTCTGGAACGAATTCTTACAGGTTTAGCTCAGAATGCTCTCGAACACCATTCAAAAGCTGTATAAACCCTGCTGGTACGCGGATAGTTAGTTAGTATCGAGTTGGTGTCTCGTCTAGCGAGTCAATCCCTGCGGAGTCGATCGAGTTGACAGCCGGGCAGCGAGTGCCGAGTGGGCCGTCGAGTGCACCGAAAGAGTTTCTTAGTGTATCGCGGTTAGTGCATGTCTAGAGAGCGTGTTGAGCTCCGGGAACGCCTGATCCGAAGAGTCGGGAGCCGTGCTCTGTGTGTTGCCGAGTGCATCTTGAGTTGTAGCGTGGAGAGTCTCGAGAGTACGTGGAGTTCCGAGAGCGACCGAAGAGAGTCGGGAGCTGTACTCTGGTGCTTGCAGTGAAGCTGTCTCCATCGTGATAACTTGATAACCTGAAAGCTGTGCTGATTGTGTCAGCGTGTTTATAGTAGATCTTCGATGACTGTAAAAAAGGACTTTAGAGCTGTACTGATTAATATTGGTTAAATAAAGTGTGTTTGGATATTTCATCAAGTAATGTCGTCGTTATTCACTCTAAATCCACACGAACCCCGTACGAACGTGAAGGAAGAAAATAACGTAACAACTGGTGCCAGAAGAAAATAACGTAACAATATAAAACTAGTTGAAAGTTCTCCTTTCAATGTTTTTCCTGGAATTTTCGAAATTTAACTATTTCTTTCAAATGTATTTATGAGTTTGCTTTTTAAGTGAAAAAGTTTAAATGCAAGCAAATATGATTCTAAAATAATGCTTGTTACAATATCAATAATATAATAACAAATTCAGGGAAATATGAGGATACTGCAAAATTGAATGGTACCAAAATTATCATGCATTAAAAAATTTTGTACAAATCAGCAGGGTAGTGGCGAACTCTACATTTAGTTATGCCTCACTGACTGCAGAATGCTGGGAATTCAACCCAGGTTTTATCTCTGGGGAATGGATTTGGTGCATGGTTGGTTTTCGTGGTTTTTTGTAATTTGTACCATGAAAGAAGGCTAACCTAACCTTGTAGAGACATTAGGTATATATTTGGAAAAGCCGGAGAGATGAAAAATAACAAACCACCTTCGCCGGGAATCGAACCACGGACCTCTGGAATAGCGTCCCAGCGTACAGAACCACTACACCACGAAGGCGCGCTAGGAAGGCAGGAGAAATACCTTATATACCCCTTTTCAAAGGGGACTGGCGTTTTTAGGAGACCCAATCGCCAAATCCTGGGTGCGAAGAATCATCATCCAACACTCTTTCAGTTCGGGCGCCACTGTAGAGACAATA